TCAGGGGTAGGTCGGATCTCTTCCTGGGTTGACTTAGCTAGCGGAAACGGGAAGTGGTGCGCTGTCGTTGTTGAGGCTGTCTAGATGATAATTCATCCAATCTCAGTAGGTGGTTGGCTACCTGTTAGCTGCTACACCAGAGGAGATGGTTCGATTTTCCTCTCCGTGGATAAGACACTCGAGCGTGTCATCAGCCATTTCTGTAAGCTGATTCAGATGTACACTAGAGCTTTGGAACGAGGTGATTGTGTTCATGTGCGCCAAGAAAGTTTTAGTCCACGTTTGATATTGAACAGATTCATTAACCTTGATATCCTCAAAATAGGCACACATGCCGAAGGAGTTAAGAAGGAGACCTGTCAACTAGTTCGGTACCGGAAAGTAGGTGTCGACGAAAGCCCTTGTTCAGGTTGATCAATAGTGTTAGAGCAGCATCATTCAAATCTCCATAGGGGTTTTCAGAAGGCATTGTTCCAAATAAGTCGAAAAATTTTGTAGCAACATCTCTCGGTAGCAATGTAACAACATGTAAATATTTAGGGAACTCGGAGGAAATCATCTGATTACGAAAAAGGACCTCAGGTCGCAATATCCAAACTTGGGCTTTGGGGCTGTACGGGAGAAAGTTGACTGAAATGCTCTTTTCCGAACAGAGGTTTACTGCAATAGGATCACTCATTGTCAACGGAGGAGAGTTGTTAAAATTAAACGGATATCATCATTCAATGGCGTCAAAAATTAAGTGCTTTCATCACGTCGGGATGACCAAATGTAGTGTCTGAGAGACTTAGCACTACCTTACAACCCTCTAATTAACAGCCCAAGACAACTCGAGAAGAGTGGAAAAGAGGCGACAGCGGACACGACTAGTTTATTGGTGTCAAAACAGCCAAATGGCTTTGTGTGCGTATGAGTAAGCGTGCGTAACAGGCGAATGCTGACAGAGGCCAATAACAAAAGGGGTGTCATTGGTAGACTCGGGCCCTCATGCACGTACACTCACGCGAGGTGGCTGTCAGTCCACTACAAGGATGTCGAACAGGTGAGATAGAGTCACTTCACCTTTCTAACATAGAGTTCGCGCTTTCATAGTCACATGAATATGGCCCATTCATGGACTCGCACCAATCAAGTGGTTATGCACTGCTAGAACTCTTTCCAGAACCCTTAGCGACTTCGTGATTTTAGTATTTGTTGATTATCAGCAGGTAAATGTTACCAAGAATTACTTGCGCCCTGTTTTGAAGGTACAATTTTAACTTGCAGAGGGTTAAAGTTATGAAAAAATAGAAACGCTCAGCCAAAAGTTAAAATGACAGTTAGTGAAATCCGTCAGTGAAATATACAGTGCAATCTACTGCTTCGTTTGTACACTCCCTAATATCTTGTTAGCTTTGATTCGGTATATATAATTTTAACAGATGCAACTCAAAATGATTAAATCAAATAACTGCTGTTAATGTCTTTAAAAATTTAGGGAAGTAAATAATCCAAAGTGCATGGCCGGTATTGTTCACAGGTACTTCTCAGAGTTTCTCATTTTTTTAAATTTAAAAAAAAATTGTTTTTACAGGTGATTTTTTCTGTTAATCTTAATGATAAATAGCTTACCTGTGATGTCAATAGGAAAAAAATCGAATAAACTTACCAAATTTTTGCTCTTATCGAGTACTTTCGAAAGTAATAATTCTAATGGAGTTCGACATTTGGAAGTGGCTAATCACGTTCTTATTTAAATCATGCGCAAATTGTTGGATTTCGTTAACTAACACAACAAAATGTTCTCTTGTTGGTAGATGTTGAACATAAATTACCTACAACACTCAAAAACAGAATTAGTCAAATGTGTTATATCTGATTTTAAAACCATTGTTGCACCTATATTCAAAAATGGTGAATAATAGTAACAAACAATTGTTGTGGTTCACTTTAATTCACACAAAAACATCACCTTTTTGTGAATTTGAATAACACATTTGTTTCACAACCACACTATTATATTTTTTCGACTATGTTCTCTTTTGCTAGGTGCAGTTTTAATGCGAAATACAAATAACGCCGCATAACTTAGTAAGCAATAAAGTCGTATTATTGATCAGATATTGAGCCACCTTAATGCATTGTTTGTATTTATGCATTAGCTATTGTAAATATCAAAATCTGGTGTTCTTTTACAGGATTGGCTAATGCCCGTCCACGAACTGTGTGCTGAGGCACTATCTATTCAGTTACAGCAGACTTTGAAGAACATTGCTGACGCTGTTGAGTCGTTAACTTACGATATTGCAAACGGATCGCCTACATCAAGTACCCTTGAGAGGATAAGTGAGCTCACGCTCGACCAAGGGGAACTGAACATTAATAAGTCCTTTCAAAACGTTCAGATCTTGGATTCACTTGCCGTCAACTTGAATCTAAATCAGGCAATACTGGACAATATCGAATTGCAGCTCAGTGAACTCAATACATTACTATAAAGTAGTTGGATCATGCCGAGGTCCCCCAATATCCTAATCACCGGGACACCTGGTTGTGGGAAGACCACGCTAGCAACCGAACTAGCAAGTATTACTGGCCTGAATTTTGTATCGATTAATGATATCGCGAATGAGAATAATCTGTATGATGGCTATGATGACAAAAATGAGTGTTATATCCTTGACGAAGATCGGGTAATTGATGAAATTGAACCCAAAATACAAAAGGGAGGACAGGTATGCATCAGCGCTTGAAAGTGATTTCTAGATCCTCGATTACCATTCCTGTGACTTTTTTCCTGAGCGTTGGTTTGATGCAGTTTTCGTCCTTCGTACAAGCAATGAAATACTATACCCTAGACTCGTTGCTCGAGGCTACAAACAGAAAAAAATCCAGGATCTAATTCATTGCGAAATTGTTCAAGTGGGTTTTTAATTTTAAGTGATTTTCCAGTAAGCGTTTATGGTTACTCCGTAGTATTTTTGTCGGTATCATTGTATTTTTTTATAAAGGAGCTTCATTTTCCGAGATTAAATCATCAAATAGGTAAACTATGATTCTGACTTTTAGGTCATTTTGGACGAAGCTCGTGAATCATACAATCCTGAGATTGTTTATGAACTCAAGAGTGAAACTACCGAAGACCTGCAGGCAAACATAGCTAGAATTCGCGAATGGATTCACCAGTGGAAAATTGATCATAGTGGTGAAACGTAAATGCTCCAATTCTTGTTTTGTTACTTATCGGAATTAATACGTCGTTCTAACGTGTTGCCGTGTTTTTGCAAGTGGCGAGCCGCCGAAATCAAGCCCATTATGCACACCACCTCCAACTCTTCTTAAACAAAATAGGCTTGGTTTCCGATAAAAGCTGAATGTTTCTGGTCATCCGTAACTGACTTTTGCGCCCACTGACAAACCCAATCTGAGAAACCATGACCGACTTTACTACCAGACTAATGTGGTGCCGTAGCCAAGAACCGCCATTTGATGTCCTCGCCGATCTTCAAGCCTTTACAGCTATCGTACTTTTTGATATTTCATACTAAGTTAAAGAAACAGGGAACGTCTTAGAGAGTAGCTGTTAAGTTAGCGACACTTTCACCGCTTCCGCAAGAAAACACGTGGCATATCATGCCCACCACTGTATATCCTTATCAACTGCTGTATGCTTAGGCAAATTAGATGTCGATACAGTTGTCCGCACTACCTGATGATTAAAAAAACGCATGGAGTTGAAGCAGAGTGCATGTACACGAATAGATAACATGGAGGACAAAAAGGCTGTCTATTTGCGAGAATGTCGCAACTGAGAGGCCGTGGGCGGCGTTGGAGTGGGGGAGAGGGAGCCTACAGGCGAAGGTCGACGTGAAGATCGGTGGTGTCGGTGGCCACCCGACGTGGAAGAACGTCGGTGTCTACGCTCCCCGTCTTCTTCTCTCATCTTGTCCATCGATGACAAATTGCGAGAAATTCCGCCTATGTGGGAAAATAACAGTCCTTTACACAATTTGGCCATGAACCATTTCAAAAAGTCTGGGGAACAAATTAGCCGTTCATAGCCAAACGGCGAATGAGTTAAAACTTGACAACAAACTTCCGGAATGTGGCACCGTCTACGTGAGAAAGGTTCTAAGTCTCAAAGCAACACATAGGTAAGTTGTGGTGTAGGGGCGATTCTTTGGATTTAAAAAAGCAGTGGTTGGGATTTTTGCCGCACATAGCAGAAGGGTTTAAAAAATACACTGTTCAGGAATTTATTAATTAGTAAAAGATATGCGAAGTTCTCACCACCTAGCTTCGATCAACGACGTTTTTTAAGCATTTTCACCAACACCAATCAACTGATACCCCGGTGGCTATAATGGAATTATGACTGTAAGAGACAATTTCGAGGACGACGACTCATCACAAAAAAAAACAAAATTGTAAAAATCAGAAGAATCCGGGGCCTTATTTGAAAATCTTGATGTCTTTCTGAGAGGCAGAAACAGACAGGCAATGTAAATTGCCTTTGTCCTGTATAACACAACCAGCCTTACAGCGCCTCGAAAATCTTGACAAACGTCCAGGATCAAATGAATGAAAAGTTAATTTTCATATTATTAAAGTGGGGTACGCTCCGAGCCTCTGATGTTTCTTTTCGATGCATTTGACCTCGGCGTGTGTATCTATACGAGGGAACGGTTTGTGCTTAAACTTAATCCCAATGAGTGCTTTTTCATATCAAATGCGCACAGATTCTGAAAAGTCCCGGAATTCGACACGGACTTGAAACTAACCTTTTCTAGACTTTTTGATCGATGAGCTCCCACCACAGGGTTGCATGTCATCTAGGTCTAGGTATGCTACACTTTCCCTATTTGCACGACCATCTCCGTCACCACCGGCAGTGGCTACCGATGAGGAAATCGAAGAGCCGCCGAGTGAGGCTGCGGCGGCCGCTCTCTTGCGCTGAAGCCGACGACCCTCCTTTGAGGGGACATTTGTCGAGGAATCTTCATTCATTTGTTGCTGTTGCAGCAACTGATGCTGTGCATCAGAGATTCGGAGGCGCTAACAGAAAGACCAAAATTTAACAAGTTGTACAAAATTCAAGCTAAATTTCAATTTACATTGTTTTGCTTTCGTTGACCACAACATAATGCATGTTTTATGACAGGTCATCCGAAAGACCATACTTCACCTTTGAAATAAACCAATAGTCACGAGTACCTCAATAAATGATGTAAACAGATCCGCCACTTGTAAAACTACTGTCGGCTTACTGGGCAAGTACACCACAGTTAGGGATGGGGCTGGTCGTATATCTTTAGAAGTAGTAGGAGTCTTAACAACGTGAGGAGTCTACTTGAAATCTTGGATATTTCAAAGATTAAGTTGTCTTTTGGATCCGCCAACGATAAAGCTTAAACTGAAAAGACAATTAACCGATCACGCCTCTAGAATCGGCTTACAGTCGCATAAATGTTAAATGCTTTCCAATTCTTGGAAATGTGGGACACGATGAAATCACAAGAAATGTAGATTTACCTTGGATGAGGAAGTGTAGTTTTTATCGACGGACAAATTTCGACGATGTTTCATTTCTGCAATTCAGGATACAATGGTGCCTGTTATTGTGAACAAAATACGAGTGGTGTGTTTCTCTTCCTAAAAACCAAATTCTACAGAAAGGGCGCCAAATAATCGCAAGCAGTTTAATTCAGGTAGTGTCGTTAGAGGTGAAGCTAGGTAACGTAATAATGCGAATAAAGTGTCAATGAAAATTTAAGGAAAAAAAGGCTAAATGACAAAATATACATTAGGAGGCAAGAATAACTAGACCCATGATGTGTCTTACATTCTCACATGCCTTCAAACTCTACCAGAGCAAGTAGGCCAGGGCTACGCAATTGAGGGATTGAAAGCGTTCTTTACTTTGCGCACAACTTCTGCAAAAGAAATCTTCATTAAATAATTAAACTACCTTAGTCTGATCTCATCGGCGGATCGCCACTTACACACAAGATGAGCCCGAAGTCTGAGAGCTTTGAAACCAAAGCAGGGGACAGGCATAATGAAGGCGCAAAATTCGTCAAGCTCATTACGAAAGATTGCGGGATAGCAAGGCCCGTTAATACGCAAAAAGTGCACGCATAAGACTAGGACAAAAAGTAACTCAACAAAGTAATAGGCTATTCATCCAGAAAGTCTATTCAATTATTTGCTTCCGTCAACGACGAGACTGCAGTACGCATTATTAGGACAACACGGATGCATCGTGATAGTTGTTTGCATGTTCTAAACACACCTGCACCTCCGTTTTACTTATTGAGCGTTTTAAAAGAAAGCAATTCACCTCGCAGTTCATCGCTGGGCGCGTGTTCCCCACCAGGTGCATTTCCGATGTCACTAAAATACAATAATTTTACCATTAAGTGATTAGAAATTGCTCGACACACGTTGAATTCGATAAATACCAACCAAAAAGACAGCCAATGCTCAAAATCAGAAGCAATCACTTACAAGGGAGCATTGCTGACGGCACTACGCTTCTGAGATGACGTAGTGGAATTGCGGACAGGCTTGCTGTTAATTGGTGCAACGCTAGAGGACTTGGGAGCTAAAATGACAAATTAGATCAAAAGGAATGCGCTTAAGGCCTTTGTAATTTGCACAAACGATTTGCAGAGGCTAAAAATATATACTGTGAGGAATACTTCGTGTGGACGACTTCATGCTGTTTAAGGTACCTGGTTCCACTGAGCCTGAGAGTGTACGCACTAACTCAAGGGTGGGGGACCCGCGAGCACCACCAACCCCTGCAGGGACAGTGATGGTGGCTGCGGTGGTGGTGGTCTCAGTAGTGACAGGAGGGCTGCGGCCGACGCCGCCACACTGCGAGTTCACCGTTGCTTGGCTTTGCTGGGGTTTTGCAGCTGGTTTCTGCTCCACATCGTGGAAATCCTCTTCGGAGACCCAAGTTGCCTTCATCGGACGCATCATGCCCGCATAGCTAAAGGCCATTACCTTGAATTAAAGAAGCAAAAATCGTTGAGTTTCGAGTACGAGTCGCGTTAAAGTCATAACACCTATTTTTGACCCAAGCAACGTCAATGTGAATGAATCGAGGGCTCTCAATAGAATTCCAGACACCACTTAAAATGAAGTCGTACAATCTCACACATTTCGAACTCACATCGAACGGGCTAGATGTCGGTTTTGCGATGTACAAACACCATCCTGAAGACTTTCTCCTAGGCTACATTATGCCAGTCAAGTCAAAAACAGGAGCCACTGCACACGCTCTTACCTTCAAGTCTGGCCGCTTGTCCTTTTCTTCAACTTTGAGTTTGTTAACCCTGCGTTCGACAGCACTGCCGAACTGGTTGATTTTGGGGTAGTGGGGTAGAATGCGAGTTAGAACGATGAGGGCGTTCCTTATTTGAGCGTAGTTGCCAGACTCGAGGCAAGCGACTGCTGCCTTGGTTACACGATAGTGCCACTTATGCACAACATGCCGATAGTTTTCGAATTGCAGTTGATCTGCTTTCGTGTTGGCATCAGTCCCCTACAAACAAATCATTTTGAATTTTCCAGTGCAACTTTGGTTTCACCGTCCTCACAGACACCATAAGAGATTTATCAATCACGTAGGCCAATTCTAAGAAGAATAGGAACAAGAAGAGAGGTTGGCCTATACCTGGTGGAACCTGTAAATAAAAATCTCCCCAGCAGTGCAAATTTATATTTACGATTTACAATTTATTTTAATTGTACAAAAATTATTGTCATGGACCCTTGCGAATCAATCAGTCGCACAATACCCAAAACGGACGGCGCGCTTAGCACAGCTGACCGGCGAGCAGAACAATGACAAGCTAGTGATAATTGGGGTTGGAAAATAGATGGGGAAAAGGAGTTTAAATCAGGGGAAAACGGCAAACATGTGAGAGGACCTACCTTGCGGAAAACAGTTACGAAGCCGGGGTACTGGCCGCACTCCTGGTTGAAGATCTCCTCTGAGGAGTGCCAACGCATAACAAGGTCGAGGACTGAGCAGAGAAAACGGCCATAACGATGTGCCTCCTTCTCAGTGCACATACTCACTGGAAGCGTGATGTCGTTAAAAATCTAAACACAAGAGGCATGGATGAACGATGGCACAAAACTCCAGAATATAGCTTTATTTTACAAACAAACGGCTGAGTGCGGTTCTAATGGCACGATCCAGTACCAGTGAACGAGACCCTAACAATCGCCCAGTCAAGGCGTTGGCAGATAGTGGTATCAATCTGAACTTAAAAGCGGTCATGGTTCGCTCGGCCTTCGTCCAACGGCTGCATGGATGTCAGTTGGTCGCTAGTTTTTGAATCACCGTAAATTAAGATGTACTGGTGGCAGAGATGGGCCACAGCATACCTCCCGCACGGACACTTCTTTACAAACTAAACACATGAATCAAGTTGCATACTCCTGATCAAAGCAACGACGGAAAAATACATGCAAACAGAACACAGCCTACTCTATCGAGACAAATAAGAGTGGAGAACTGGGCGGCCTTCAGTTGATGAAGCACGTGAATAAACTGTGCAGCGTATACAGCGTCGCTGGCCGTGAAAAAGGCACGTGGGTAGACGCAGAATTGCAGGAACTGTGTTATTGTGTCCGTCTTGGTGGCCGACATGGTCTGAAACCAGTTGTCCCTTTCCGACAGCAGCCAGGTACGAATGCGATCGACGTGAACCTTCCGGGCATCGTGTTCCCGGGACAGACGATTAAGCAAAGTCTGACATCGTTCAAACTCACGACGCTTCTTCTCTGAATTCTGGTAAAACAAAAAAGATAAGAATTGCTGAGGCAACAGTTAACACATTACATTAAATATAACACCTCAACCAGCGATTGACAACTCCACTAGCGGGATACATTTTGGCATATTTTTGTGCTACTTCCCACACAAACATATTTGGGCCAATAAGCTATGCCGAGAGACGGAGAAGGCTAGTTGTCAGCAGCCCACAAAAACGGGAACCAAACAGAGCTCACCAGGTCGGAATTGTGTTCGATTGCAGCGAGTTGACTTTGCAGTATGTTTTGCTGGCGTTGGTAAGCAGCGGTAGGGACAACCAGGTCTCCCGACTCAAGACACCAAAAGGTAGCAAAAAATGCGGCTCCCAATTCTTCCCAAATGCGCGGCGGATAGAGCGGGCTGATTGCCTGGGCCACCTCATTGATGACAGTACGCGCTGCTTTCACAAAAGCACTCTAAAAGAGACAATCTCATACTACAGTAAAATGCGAAAGTGAATATCCGTACAGGATAGGTTCATAACAAACGCTGTTGGCAATAAATTCCTACAACCTGACATTTGACTGCTATGCGAAACCGAAAATAGTCGAGATAAAAAACAAGGGATTGTGGTTTTTGTATTGAATCCAGCCACCAAACATAAGAGTGCACAACCAGAAACGGGGACGGAAACATTCCAGACATCAACTCAGCTACCATGCCAACTATAAACACTTTGTCGTAGCAATTATCAAATGAATAGATTTTGTGACGTATGATGGAACAAGCAAAGGGCCTCCTCAAGAAGAACACTCAGACAAAGCAGCATTACAGGACACTGTGAGTACGGTCGTGAACTATTTCGAACTGCAACGTCACAGAAGTTTTCAGCTTTTAACACAGCTGGCTTGGAATTGGCAAGCACAATGCTTTGACAATGAATTAGGGCAAGAAAAGTGCACAACCATGCAACGAAAGAAGCAATTGGGACTTTGAGAATTTCCGTTGAGGAGTCGGGAACACAGGATAGTTTCGGTACAACGATGTTGTGTTACAATGATGATGATGATGATGGTGGTGGTGGTGGTGGTGGTGGTGGTGGTGGTGGTGGTGGTGGTGGT